CGCCTTTTGGATTATTCGAATTCTTGAGAATGCCTTTCGGACTAAAGAATGCTGCTCAAACATTTCAGCGTTTTATGGACCAAGTTACCCAAGGTCTTGATTTCGTCTTTGTATATATCGACGATGTCTTAATTGCCAGCTCATCGATGGAAGAACATATGGAACACTTAAGCCTGTTATTTCAAAGGTTTGAACAATTTGGAGTTGTTATCAATCCAAAGAAATGTATTTTTGGTTCCCCTTCCATTGAATTCTTAGGACATCGAATAACTGCCGAAGGCATCAGACCTACCGAAGATAAGATAAAAACTATTAAGAACTTTCCCGAACCTGATTCCTTAAAGAAACTTAGACGTTTTCTCGGGATGTTCAACTTCTACCGACGTTTTATTCCATCATGTGCCTCCATAGTTCAGCCACTGACCGACCTACTTAGATGCAATTCGAAGAAATTTCAGTGGTCTGAAGAAGCAAAAGCAGCATTTAATAATGCAAAAGATGCCTTATCCAACGTTGTAATGTTATCTCACATCAACCCAGAAGCTTCACTCATTCTATGTACAGATGCATCGCAGGTAGCAGTGGGAGCAGTTTTACAACAAAAGTTCAATAATGACATCACTCCACTTGCTTTCTTCTCCAAGAAGTTGGAACCTGCGCAAACTCGTTACAGCACTTTTGGCAGAGAACTGTTAGCCATCTACCTAGCAGTGAAACATTTCAGCTTCTTACTACAAGGTCGACATTTTACTATCTTAACCGACCATAAGCCTCTTTGTTATGCTTTCACCACTTCGTTGGACAGACACTCTCCGAGAGAAGCCAGACAACTGGATTGCATATCACAATTCTCAACAGACATCCAGTTCATCAAAGGAGATTCCAATATCGTAGCCGATTCCTTGTCTCGATGTGACGTTAATCACCTATCTTCGATAGATATTAGCTTAGACAATATTGCCAAGCTGCAGAAAAATGACGCCGAACTCCATACTTGTAGACGAAACTCCTCCCTACAGTTGCAGGATGTACCTATTTCCCTGTCTGATACAACTATCGTCTGCGACGTTTCAACGGGCGTTCATAGACCTTTTGTTCCACTAAGTTGTCGAAAACCTTTGTTTGAACATCTACATTCCTTGTCTCATCCTGGTATACGTGCTACGGTAAGTTGATCAGCGAGCGTTTCGTTTGGCCCAAGATGAACTCCGACATTCGGAAATGGGCCCACCAATGCTTGCAATGTCAAAGATGCAAGGTACATCATCATACCGTCACACCTCCAAAGCAGTTCAATTTACCGGATAGACGATTCCAACACGTGCATATAGATATTATTGGACCATTACCGCCATCCAGAGGGTTTACTCATATACTTACTGCTATTGATCGATTTACCCGATGGGCTATTGCTTGTCCGCTCAACGACATATCTGAAGAAAATACCGCTTTGGTTTTCTTAGATCGTTGGGTGTCAAACTATGAAGTACCAACAACTATTACAACAGACCGAGGAGCTCAATTTCAATCAACTATGTTTCGAGAGTTTACGAGACTCCTTGGAGTGAACCATATCTCCACTACAGATTATCACCCTGCAGCGAATGGTCTGGTGGAACGCTTCCATCGACAACTGAAAAGCTCCCTAATGGCACAAGCTGACTCATCTAAGTGGAGTGAACACCTACCATTAGTTCTTCTCAGTATCCGATCAACTGTAGAAGAAGATTTGGGATGTACACCAGCTCAACTGGTGTATGGTACTACCCTCACATTGCCTGGTCAGTTAGTTCCGTCTAATGATTCCAATGATGTAAATATCTCTGACTTCACCAACCGCCTTACCCATCAGATGCTTCAGCTTCGACCAGTAGCCCCTCGCCAATCACTTCAGAAAGCTCAAGTTAACAAGAGTCTACTCACTTGCAAATTTGTATTTGTTCGCGTCGATGCCATTAGAAAAGGTTTACAACATCCATATGAAGGTCCTTTTCTAGTACTTAAACGCACCGATAAATACTTCACGCTGAACAAACATGGTAAACCGGAGACTGTTTCTATTGATCGTCTTAAACCAGCGTACACCGACAGCGAATATGAAACACTAGCAACGCCTGCACCAATAAACAATGAGAAAGTCAATGCAACTCCAGCTCTCCCGCTCTTCACACTTCCACCTGTACAGACACGCAGTGGACGGCAGATCTGTAAACCTGCCCGCTATGTTCATTTTATTGACTGACATAAAAAAAAGTACGTAACCTCATTTAGACATACTTCTCATTACTATTGTTGTCGACATTCATTTCATTATGACCATAAATATTTATTAGTATTATTGTTTGCTGTTTGTTAACTGTACTGCAAGCACACGCATTCACCAAGTATATGTATATATCTATTTATATATGAATTTCGCAAATGCTAACGAACATGTCATGGTTTATTATGTACATAAATTTTTCATTTAAAATTATAACAAGTTTTGATTTTTTTAAATTCCTGAATCATACTTGCATGTGCTGAACTTTATACGACACGGATGCATTCCATACATCCTGATCTAACTTTGTATCCTTATTATTGTTGCTGTTATTTTTTGTTATCCTTATTGTTGACATTATCCATTATTTATATTGCTTATATTCATGTAGTCGTCCACGAGGACAGTACTGATGGTCCTCCGGACCTCTAAGAGGGGGAGCTGTGTGGAGTCCTCAAAAATAAACTTATCCAAATTTTACTACTATATAAGAAATGAACATATTGTACACTACTTTGTTGTAACCATAAACTCTGTACTTTGAACTTTACCTCGGGTTTTGAATAAATATATAGTTCTGCCTTCGACTCTCCGTCTTCTCCACCATCTCAACTGCCGTCGATCAATTTTAATCACCTATTTTCTATCTCAAATTTTTGCAGGAGCACCGTAGTTTCTTCCTACGTACTTTGGTCGACCTCCGGCAACGTCAACATTGGAAAATTAGTACTGGAGCAGTCTTCCTGCATCACATCTGGAGTCTATTACGTTTATTGTGGATTTTGGATCTTTGTAAACCCAAGTAACGAAACTTTAATATATTCTTCCCGTAACTAAACTGATTTGGTATTTTATTTTCTATTTGAATTCGGGATACTATGCTAACAGAGTAAAAGGTCCACCTCAGGTCTAATGTATTCCGAAACAACTACTGCTCTTTCAAATAGTCTATGAAAGTATTCCTTACTCTAGAAAATGTTTGGTGCACATTCAGAATGTGACTCATGTAGTATATTGTTAGTCCTAAAAACTCGAAATTATTCTGCTGAATATCGTCCGTCATTCCACTGCAGGAAGATGCATATTGTCCAGGAGAATTGGGGTTTGTATTCCATTCCCGAAAAAAGGTGCATCAACAAACGGACTAATAATATGAAGTTATAAATTAATTAATTATATGAGCTTATAAATTAACATCCGAGTCACTAAACTGTTTATAGAAATGCATACGCCGTCTGTTGTACCAGAAGCACCTGAAGAACGATTGTGCACTTCTTCAGAGGACACTAAGCAAAGTAACACTCTGATAGATATGGATCAAAGTCAAACTACCAGTGTTTGCAAAATAGAATACACACAATTTGGTGAATTTCACACTTGCAAAGTATGCAACGTGAAGTGTACCGGTAAGATGCACTTTCTGCAACATGTAATGGGGTCAAGTCACAAAAGAATGCTCATTCTAAGTAAATATAAGCTTACTTAGAATGAGCTTACTGACCACCGAAGGGCAAGTCAGGATGTACAATTTTCGGGGTTCGCCTTCTCTAACACTATCTCTCCAGATTGGAGAGACAGCACAGCTGGCATGCTGACCATCTGAGGAAAACACATTACTGATGTTACATCCCTATTCCCCAGAAGTACAACTCCGCCCACAGACCCCCAGCATAGTGTAAAAAAATCTTACACTATGCCGGTGACTGCTTTTAGTTTAATTGCTATCTTAACAGTCTTCCTGGCATGGTAGGACCTGCATTAACAATAGTTATAGCCAGTGTAGCTTGTTGGGTCATTGTGATATGCAAGCTCGACCACCACGTCAAGGTAGCAGATATCGGTCGGGATTAATTTAAATAATTTTAATGGCTCAATGGGACATGGCATCCAAATTATTCCAGGAAATTCGTGACATCTACGGTCTGGAAACTTATAAGGGGAAATGCATAGATCACATAAATTAAATAATTAACCAATCGTCGTCTATAGGAATATCCTCTTTCAAACTGAACAGTTCATCGTAAGCCTTTGTCTTATATTAAAGTACAAATTGTATATCTTGAGAAATTCAAGAATATTAACAACTAGCTAGAGTTATGTGAAACGATTAACTCTCTAATGCCCATATGAGCCTATTTAAAAAGATATATACGCTGAAAATTGGAACTAGTGATTTACCACTTATCGATAGCTCATCAAATATTTACACCCTAAATTATTGTTGAGTACGATTATAGTCTACAATGCGAATAAGCTGAAATTAGTCTTCGCTAAAATGGTGAGTGCTAAGCTCACAATCAAAATGACCTGTGCAGCCTAGAGCTGTTTCAAGCAAATGCACGCAAAAGGACACTTCGACCTCAGAATGATCACCTTCGTTTATCCTGGTCACAACCAGGCGGATAAAACAATCAGCCAAACTTCGTAACAGATCGCTACACAACGTATCGCCAACCGTAAAACAAGTGTGCAACCAAGTACTTCAAACACCCATCTTTCAAAAAATGAAGGGTGATCTAAAAATGCACTTCATTCAATGGAGTTGAGACAACCAAGTAATGTCTTTACGCAGAAAACACTGGATGTGACTTACACCTCGGCATACGAACAAGTACAAGAATTCTGAGTTACGCTACTATTCACTCATGATTATTGACCTGAATAATAAGAAATACCCTTCTTAAGAGTGGATGACGATTTTAAAATCATTACAAATAAGAATTAAAAACCAACTCACTTGCAGTGACCTTAGTAGAACACAATCAGCATGTTTACAGAACGGCATACTTTCAAGAGAACGACCGTTGCTCCGTTCCGAAGGTGATGCTCCTAAAACTGCATCAGTTTCCCTCTGACATGAAAGAGTCGGAGATGACGTTGGTGATACAAACAATGGGGAGATGTTATTTGTTGACTCCACTTTAGACTCAAGATCTATGACATTTCTTAACCAATGTGCAACCATTTGACAAACTCTTACTGGATTTTCAACAGTCTGATTTACTGAAGTGAAAATTTGTGAAAGACATTCCTCTGATTCATTAAACTGGTTTAACTGTAAACCCAATGTAGAATTGACTGACAAATGACCAGATAAGTGTGTTTCTCGATTTCTGAGTTGTTTCAAGTGTCTTTTACCTGCTAGATGACAATCAAGCTGTTGTTTAGAGGAACAGTTAAGACCACACAGTTCACAGAAGTAGGGTGTACCGTTGTTCCCAGTGAATCGTTGCTCCATACGGGTCTGTCCAGATGCTTGACTCTCAGAAGACGTTACACTGCAGTGAGACGCATATTGCTCAGGAGAATTGGAGTTTGTATTCCATTCCTGACAAAAGGATGCATCTACAAATGGACTAATAATATGAAGTTATAAGCTTACATAGAGTGAGCTTTCTTTTGTGACTTGACCCCATTACATGTTGCAGAAAGGGCATCTTACCGGTACACTTCACGTTGCATACTTTGCAAGTGTGAAATTCACCAAATTGAGTGTATTCTATTTTGCAAACACTGGTAATTTGACTGAGACCCATATCTATCAGAGTGTTACTTTGCGTAGTGTCCTCTGAAGAAGTGCACAATTGTTCTTCAGGTGCTTCTGGTACAACAGACGGCGTATGCATTTCTATAAACAGTTTAGTGACTCGGATGTTAATTTAGAAAACATAATAATAGAATTTGGATACTGTCGTAGAGTATAAATCCATCATAGAATAATTTTACTTGGTAGAAACAGTCATACAACAAATATTGCTGTTTCACTGAATGTGAGCGCGTACTGCTGCACAGTACACATGCTTCGATAGACAACCAGATATCCCGTCAATTGGCAAATGCCACAAGAACTTTCTGTATCCGAGCTAAGATTTCGTCAGAAATCAGTACATTGGGACTGATGCATATGACCAACTCACCTGTGAAACTTCGATTTTTCTGCAACTCCTATTTCATTATCAAGCTTAGTATGGCGAGCGATTCTGGGGAAATCACTCGTACCAAATTCCCATGAAACTTCATGAACTCTCTTACAAATTGCCGCGCCTGGGCAGCGATGATTCGAGACGTTCATGAAGCCGGCTCATCCTCCCGTAGGAGATAGCTGAAGTAAAGTAAGTAAGTTAGTATGGCGTTTACTCTTATCTCCGGATCAATTTCCCACCGTTTCATCTAGTAACAATCGAATAATCCATTGGCATAAAACTAGACAATTCACAACATTTCACATAATATATAGATATATTCATATATACCATTTAAAGGATGCCCTCCGCTTACATGTTTGGTCTGTCATTTCTCGAAAACCCGAGCTACCGTCTGCTTTAACGGCTGAAGCTAAGTGAATGGACAGTAGGTTGCAGAGAGGTCAGACAAAAATAGGCTACTCAGAAAGACATGGATTGCTTTGTTGACGACTTAGGTAGTTGCTGAAGCTTACTTTAATGCGTCGGTGGTACAGTGGTTAGGACTCTCGCCGACCATGCACATGGTCCAGGGTTCAATCCCCGGCCGACACATACCCGATATCTATAGTCGGCCTGCAAAATTTGGGCTACCGGTATCACATGCTGAAAATTCCATACTTTTACCGAAAATACGGTGGCAACAAGCTGTAATCAAAAATATAAATTAAATTAAATCTAGTGGATAACGCTTTGGCGTTTGAAACTATGGGCTCTGGGTTCGAGCCTCGGTGGGAACATCATAACTCACTGAGAAATGCAGGTATATCCAGATGACGAGTCCCAAATAGGACGAAATGCGCATCCTGGATTCCACTGCTAGCCACCATCCATCAATTGTATAAATTAAATCTCACTAATTCTGAAATAATTTTAACATTCTATAGTTGGTAAATTCTGAATCTGTCCTGAAATGGATCCTTTAATGGCACAGACTAGAACTCAGTGCTGGCTCTCAGCATGACTGGCACTAATTCAGCACCGTGTTCTTTTTCTAGTCATTTTCAGGAGTAGATCAGAACCTACTGGGTTTGCTCATCAGCGTTGTTCCAGCACTCACAGGGCATATTAAGCACTGACTAGCGTTACTTCAGAACGAAAAGACTTAATTCATCACCCAGCTCTCTTCATTTGCCGTCAAAAGGCATTATCGAAGAACAGGTTAGAATAAGTTTAGAATTGTTGTAACCTTGGTTGGTGTGATCCGTCACGAAAAGCAACCTGAGTTCCTTATGTCCACTATGTAGTGTTTCTCAACAAAGGTTACAGGTTCCCTCTTCCATTATGGACATACCATACATAGAGAATTATTACCTCACCTAGGTGAGGTGCGTCCTGTTTATGAAATCGGGCAAATTGGAATTTGCGGCACGCTTACATGGGGAATGTGGGATAAGTATGTAGAAACTCCGAGGAACCATACTTAAACATGGCAAACCAGGCTATCCACTACCAAAAACGATTCTGAGCAACCAATCTGATGCGCGTATATTAGAGATATGTATGGATGAAGTATGCGTGTTACGTTGCTAATTTCATTCTCAAACCGCAGGTTTCGAGAATATAATGCCACCAATAGTACTTACCCTAGAAAAATATTTTCAAAGGAAAATTTCACTTAAAAAGCATACAAAAAATATAACTTGTCATTAAACCACCGTAGGGTTAAACTAAGACGCCACAATCAGCAGGGATATGCAATAAAGCCACTCAAAAAACAACTTAGAAAGCAGATTACACACAATGATCTACAGAGTGCATAAACTACTTCGGCTGAAGGTATGATTACAGTTGTTAAGAGTAACCCTTCAGCATTTTAGAATAGACAACAAATGGGAAGTTGATTGTTATTCAGAATGAAAGCATTGGCAGGATGCACATGGCCTCCTTCGTTGCAAATAAACAAGTTGAGTTATACCACGAATTCCCAGATGTGTGTTACTTCACATATACGCCGGGCTGTATCAAATGTGCGTCTTTCAATCAACCCTCCGTTGTACTCTGAAATCCTTATTTTCTTATGCTTGTAACTTTTTGGTGCGTTTCTTAGTTTGCCTATGCATACGGAGTGTACATAATTCTAAAGAAAACTTTAAATAAATTTTCATACGACCAATGATTTTACTTTTCTTATTCTAATCCCGGAAACATTTGTTGAAACGAATAGAAGAATATATAGTAACGTAGTGTGTTCCATGGTTGTGAAATGTAGGCACTTTGTCTCTGATTAATATCATGCGGATAATTGTATAAACCTATGGACATAGTCTTGGCCTACTACACCGCGACGTGTAGAAATCAGGACCACACCGTCTACAGTAGATTAATTTTTACTTTGTGAGTAACTGTGGATTGTAATTCATTTGGAGTTTTATGGTACTAGGATTGCCAACTCTTCACTTTCCTTTTAATGTGGAGATATTTACTTTCTTAGGCGACAAGATGATCTTTTGGGCAGAGAAAATTTGTGGCGATGCAAAAGCAACATTGTGTTTTCTATTGAGGAAGGATTTTGAGGAGCTTGCCTTCAGCAGAAAGTAATTAAATTAGCTAATATATTTATAGTCAATCCGTCATAGGACTATGCAGTGTACGTTGATCGTGTCTGAATGTATTAGACGCCGTATGTCTGGTTAAATTGTGTATTTAACCAGGCACACTCGTGAGTAGTAAATTGTCTCAAATTAGATTAAGAGTTTACGAATGTCTTTGGGGCTAATCCGCGTGCACTCCTCATCATGCTCACTCGAGTCACCTACACAAGAGATATTTTCAGGTTCTGCAGGCCATTATGCGATGGAAATTTCGTCATCAAACTTATCTCATGAATCAGAATTTGAATAAATCCTCTGTACAATACAAGTGTTTACTCTGGTCTGCATACTTTGCTCACATGCACTGTGCTTACATGTGGTACACACTTAAGACTAAAACGCAATATGATGAGTTCTGTAAGGCATACTACTTTCATGGCTAAAGCAAGATGAACACATTGCGGAGATTAAGATGACTTCGTTAAAGTTCGTTGTTTCTTATTGGCTGCATACCACCGTAAGTAATTTAATAACAATATGGCGAATATTCAGGTAAGGCGCCTACTGAATATAAAGATGATGGATAATAATTAGTTTCATGTGATTCAGTAGCATATTAGAGGGGAATGAGAATTTTTGTTCGGCTCATTATCAGGCAAGTAGTATAAGTCTGATGATGCCATCTCACTTCGCAGTCAACACTGCCTTGAGAATCGGCGAGAATTCCCGGGGCAAGTCACATCCCCACGAATGCATATCACGTGGCAGCAGGTCGTCTAGTGGAAAGATTCTACAGGCGAATGAAGAGCTCCCTTACGGCACTGAATATTAAATCTAAGTAGAGCGAACATCCACTGATGATGCTGCGCAGCGTACCATCATTCATAACAGAGGACTTAGGATGCACCCCGTATCAACTTGTTTACAGCACCACGTTAACTTTGCATGGACAGTCAATCCCTTCGCGCAATTCAACAGACGCATGTGCTTCTGAATTCATAAACCAGCTGACTGAACAGATTCTACAACTTCAACCAATAATACTTCAATAGTCTTCGGGAGAGACAGCAGGTTAACAAACACTCGCAAACTTGCAAAATCGTTTTCAATGGCTTAGATGTTGTACAAAAACGATTACAACTCCTTACTGAAGGCCTTTACAAGTGAACATAACATAACAATTTCGCTTTTATTCCAGAAACAGTACTTGTAGTACAGTGTGAAATTTTCAGCACATATCTACAATACTGCATCTAATTTCATCGTACATTTAAAAGGAGTATTACAAAAAAAATAAATAAAAAAACCAAAAAGAAACACAGAAATAACAAAAAAATGCAAATAAAAATACCAAGTAGAAAGGAAGATAAACACCAATAATGAAAAAATATTTCAGTATTGGGTAGTGGAAGTCATGATATGTGTATGCGTGGTGAACAGTAACAGCTATAATCATACAAGAAATTATGAGATGTTCTTAAGAATGTTTATAGCCAAGATGATCAGTTAGTTTGATTGAACTACACTAAACAATCATAAAATAAACATTTCAGGGTTTTTTATTTTTATTGTCAGCACTAATGCAGTGTTTGTTGTGGTAGTGTGAGTAAACCTGCATAATAAAAAATTTTTAAGATGGCGATAGTGGCGTTCACAAACAAGATTGTCAGTTAAATAGTGCTGAACAAAGAACAACCACAAAACTAATATTACATGATGGTTAATGACAGGACAATTTTGTAATAATCATAGTGATAATATAGTCGGACCAAGTAGATATACAAAAGAAGGAATAGAGTAAAGTATAAAAAAGTAAGCCAATGCTAATAAAATTAAGTAGCTAGGTATGTTTAAGAAGGTTGTTCACTATAGAGTACAAATAAGAGAGTATAAGGGGGAAATAATAAGGGCCAAAATTATGTTATTAACAACAAAGCAAGTCATAGGTTTCACGCTTATCATTGTCTCTGTCACTTAGAACACGGGCCAAATATGGTATCGTTGAGTTGCTATACTTGGTTGTACGAGCATATGTTATTTTGTACTGATTTCTGGTTCTACCTGATGAGATGCAAGGAGAGAGTTGAGAATAGAGGGGGTGTTGGGGGTCAGAGAGTATGGTTTTAGTCCATTTCTCGCATGTATTCAGATGCTTATCCACTAATGTAGTGACTAGCTGACTAAGTTTTACACCGCTAGTCCTACTAACTACCTTCAACATCGTTCTCAGGATGGTATAGCCCTTTTTCAGTAACCCAGGAAAGACTAACGGGGAGCAGTAAAGTAGAATAGGTAGGATACGAAAGTTGACAAATTGTGAAAGCAGAGGTTGAGAGACTCCAGTTAGTCTGAGTTTCTTAATGTAGTAGGTTAGACGAAACACTTTCTTGGAAATCATTTGGATATGAGATGACCAAGTAAGGTCGGAAGATAGAACTAATCCGAGGTATTTTGCATGAGACTTTGTTTCAATTATAGTCCCCTCAATGCTACAGGCATCATGAGTGCTTACTAGTGTTTGTAGATCTCGCTTATGCCTAAAGGAGAAGTCGATAGTCTGGTATTTTGAGGCATTCAGCATGAGGCCATTTAGTTTAGACCACTGACTGATGTCAGACAGGAAGCTGTTTAATTTGAAGCAGTCTGACTGAGACTTAACGGGAAG